CCTCCGTCCTGCATCACTGACAAGGGGAAACCACGCCGTAAAATCTGGATGAACTTTCTCGGCTAATGCAGGGATCGAACACCCGACCTCCAGGCTAGCGAGCCAGCGTCTTACTCACTTAGCCATCATGGCTCCAAGCATCTAATGCACATTTAATCTAAAGTAAATCACAATAATGCAGTAAATATTCAAAATGGTATCATTATACATTTGGTATGCATTAAGGCGCAAGTTCTGTTGTTTTAATATTAACGTCATCATCATAATAATCATCATCGTCGTCGTCATTCGTCGTCGTCGTGACCAAAATAATGGGACCACCACAAACTAGACAAATGTTTTCTAAATAAGCTATATTTTCTATTTTCATATAATTTGGCTTCACGCCCCGTCAACGCAGTTCAGATTTCTATTCAGCGTATAGACATATACAACGTTATACAAACGCACAATAAACAATAAAAAGCCCCCCCCCCCCACACACACACACAAAATAAAAAAAGAAAGAACCAACTCTCCCCAAGACCACAAAACGGGTTTATTAAAGAATAAAGGCAAGTAAGATGTATTTTTGATTTCTTCGAAGTGGACTTACTTTGTCAGTCCCGTAGGCGCCAAGTCAACAACCCAACTGTTTATTATCACTTTAATTCTTAGTTTTCTATTTCTTATTCATTTATGTATATACTTCTTATTTACTTATTATTAAAACCTTTGGGTGCACGTAAAAGAACCCCTGGCTGTTTGAATTCGACGATGAGTAGACTGAAACGTTGCTTGTCGGGACAAAATTCCCCTAAATGCACACTACGTGGCTTATGTTAGTCTTTATTAGTCCGGTTGGTATAAGACGTTAAACCTCAATTCATTCCATTTCACTTATTATTTTTAGAATATTGTATTGCATATCATATATACCTATCAATTTTACTTGTAATAATGCCAAAGTCAAGGTCGCTTATTTGCAGTTAGAGAACAGCGGGGTCGAAGGTTCTCTTTTCAATCGGCAAAAGCAAGTGGGAACAATCGATTCCAAAGTCCAACTCGCTGAAGCCCGGTTCGGGAATGAAGAAGACAGTTATAATAATATACTGGATGTCACTATACCATTGGAGAACGGTATATATGTATACTGTTTTGATTGGAGTTGCCGTTGGATTACTCATCTGTACCAAGTGATTTAGGAAGATGAATCAAACATAATATTTATTATTCGGAAGTATTCCTGGTTGCTTATACTAAAATATAACGGGACCTTGAAAATAGACTTGATTGTGAATATATTTACTTCCCATTGTTAAACTTTTATATCCTCGACTACTTATCAGTAAGATGTTTTGCAAGCTTTCTGTGGAAGTAAAATTAACTTCTAATTTTCTTAAAATATCTGTACTCAAAATATAATGTTTAGTATCTTTGTACGAGAGAGCACTTGGAAGAACAAAAGTTACTCAAATAAAAAATAAAGATAAATTATAACATTGCAAGGAATTGAAATGAAATGAAATGGGGTTTAACGTCCTACTGTTCTGCTCCTAAACTGGGCTAATGAAGACGGGTCAAGGAATTGAGAAGCTGGTTGTCGAATGGTCTAACATGTGCACTTTAGATCATAAGGTTTATCATTGAGTCACGTGTTACGGTTCGCTCTTAAGCCGGTGCCTGACAAGGGACCGGTCCCCCTGCTTTACTTCATAAAATAGGCTTCAGTTTCGTCGATTCACTTCAATTGCTAGAGATCGTTACAATCTCCGACACAACACCAAAGAGCGTCAAATTCTCAACAAACACAAAACAACACGCAGGAGATGCCAAATTCTTAAATTATTTAATGTTTTTCAAAACCTTTTCTCTCGTTTCGCTCGGCGCATTTTTCTACACGCTTTTTCATATATTGTCGCATTATTTCTCAACAGTTGGGTTATTTTGTTCTCTTTAAATAACCCTTTTGGCTCGCCTTTTCAACGATCTTTGTTATTGTTTTCTAAAACATTACAATATAACCGTTCCCGTTTGTTACATTTCTAATAACACGTACTGTACCTTCTCAATACTTTGCAATGCTGGGAGTGGAGATTGCAGCCCGGTCCTGTTTTAATAGGCCCTTTTCCCATTAACGAAATGAAATGAAATGGGGTTTAACGTCCTACTGTTCTGCTCCTATGCTGGGCTAATGAAGACGGGTATACGCCATACAGTGTGCTATGAGGGAAATTTTGCCCGGGCAGCGGCACTATCGCCTACTCTTATATCGAATTCCTACTACCAAGGGATCATTTACGTGCATTCTAATGTATACACGGGACCTCGGTTTTTCGTCTCAACCGAAGGACTAGACAGATGTCCTTGTCAGGCCCTCCGTCCTGCATCACTGACAAGGGGGAACCACGCCGGAAAGTCTGGATGAACTTTCTCGGCCAATGCAGGGATCGAACACCCGACCTCCCTCTCCCATTAACAACTAGATAGGTGTATATAATCCTAATCATCGTTAAACAATATGCAACATCATCAAAAACATTTTCTAATCTAATTTCAACTTTTGCGCCACGCTCCGTTTGCATAATATATATATATATCAAAAGACCACTACCGAGTACATATTATATCTACCAATTTTATTTCAGTCATTGAATATTGTTATGGGTAAACTGAAATGTGATTTAGAGACGGAAACGGTGAAGTGTGATGAATGCAATTGTGCGAACAAAGCGCTCAAAAAGATCCGATCAACACTATCTTCGTCGTGTCGGCAGTATCATATAGTTTATACGTATTCAAAAAATTTGAAGGCGAGGTATTCAAGAAAAACTGTGGACCCCACCTCTACCCCCTCGCCGGAGACGAGGGAATGAACCTTATACATCTTGTCACGTTATCAGTAAAAACTTGAAATCAAACGGTACAAAAAGTTAGTTATGTGAATTTGGAAGTGGTATAACGTGTTCTACAAAAGGTAGCCATTCGAATTGCAATGCCACGTGCACAACACTAACCATTATTTATTTCAAAATAAAACGAGAAATAGTTGGGGGTTTCAGGGACAGAAGGGTACCTCAGAACCGAAGATCACCATTAGAAACACCAGTCCTGTATTGTTGTTGGCCATGTTAGTTCCTTAATAAAGAAGTGGTATCAGATGTTCTAGAAGGATATGTGTGCACCTCGAACCACATCTCTAAGACGTGATCAAATTCACCCAACCTGATTTCAGATAATATGTTGTAGGTCGGACTTAAAACGCAGAAAACTGATGAGAATGTTTAATTGTCCTGAAGTAATTTTTATACCTTTGCTAAACTGCTTACAAATAATTAATATGGAGTCATTTTACTCACACATTTCTCAATGAATTATGAATTTACAAATTGCTTTTACTGGGAGGGAAAAAATCACTATTCAAAATCATAGTGGAAATAAGAAACTTAATTACATTGGTTGAAAGCGCGATGATGTTTATTTGACTTGTTTTATTCAGATCATTTCAGGTGCGTGCGATAAACATAAATATTCTCATGGCTTATTTCAATTTTATAAAACTCTAATTTGGGGCAAGTAGGGCAGAAATATATAATGATGACATTCTGATAAAAAAAATTTATACCCGGGTCATCTATATTATACTGCATGTCGCCTGACTAGAAATTAAAGAAAATCCCCAAATTTACAAGGTCAGACATGTGTGTATGTTCAGTGGTGAACCCGAGAAGGAAGTCTTCCGTTTCAAAAATACTTCTTTCGACCAATCGTATATCATTTTATATTTACTTCCACTTATTAATAATGTCTATATTTATAACTACAATAGTCATACATTGTCCATACAGTGTAAATAGTATACAGCTTATACTCACCACCAGTGTAACCATTAGATAAAGGCTTTATACATTGCCAACATTTTCCTAATACAACAGTCTTAACGGCCTTAAATAAAATGGCAACGTAATATGTTTGGCTTAATTTGAAAATCGTGTAGGCCAATTTGCAATGATAATGATCACGAACTTATCGAATATATTGAACGTTTCATTTTTTGAATGCACAATGTGTTATTTAATTGCACTTTATATTGTAGTATTGGCGATTTGCCATGACTGGTAAAATAGTTTACTGCAAAGACTTTTAAATTTCCAATCTGATTTTAACATAGATCCTATTTTGTTTCGTTTTTGTGACCTCCTATGACCTCTGATAACCGGTCAGATCTTCATGTAGTGTAGGCCATCGAAAGTATAAAAAACGAAACGAAATATAGATCTGTATTTTAATCGGATTGTTAATTTTCCGAACAAGCATGTAACTTTAAGTTTAAGTCAACTTGAATCAGAAATAACATTCACCTATATACCAATGTGTTTTAATCGAACTCTTTAAATGAGACGTAGTCCAGGATCATTATACAAAATGTAATTTATTTAATGCCCCCGTCAGACCGGGTGGCGTCCTCACTGCGCTGCTGCGACCGTACAGGGACCAGAAAATTCACAAGGAACCAGATCAATCGAAATCAGCACTGCATTATTGATTTGACCAAGGGCCTGACAAGGTCAGTTGTCTAGTTGTTCCAAAACCGCTTTAGCCCCACCCTTTGTTCCAAGACCGCTGTAGTCTACCCCCACCTATTCTTCCAAAACCACTGTAGTTTATCCCCATCCCTTCTTCCTAAACCACTGTAGTTCAACCCCACCTGCAGTAGTTTATCCCCACCTCTTCTTCCAAAACCACTGTAGTTCATCCTCATCCCTTCTTCCTAAACCACTGTAGTTTATCTCCACCCCTTCTTCCAAAACCACTGTAGTTCATCCCTACCATTTCTTCCAAACCCGCTGTAGTCCCCTCTCATTTCTTTCTTCACAAAGATGTAGTGCTTCCCGGCTACATATATTTCCCTTATTCTCCCCTTTAACAAGTGATTTATTCATTAGCCCAGTCGGAATAGAACAGTAGGACGTTAAACCCCATTTCATTTCATATAAACAGAAAAGAAAGTCATACACATCTTTATTATAAAATCTATTTTTATTTCATATTTTGAAACGTTGGGCATAACATAAACAGTGTATAAAAAATAACTTACCGATATATGTAATATACAAACTCAACCAGCAAGCCTTTTGTTCTATATATGTATACATATGTATTGTATGTACATAACAATTATATTTACATTATTTACATAATATGCATACACTATCATACAAATGTTGATTATATACAAAGTGTACAAATCGATCATCGATTAATAATCAGATTCGATCATCGATTCATAATCAGATTTTATTTAGGATAACCTAGTTAGTCAGCATATACTATAATAATATTATATCTATATATATATATTTAAGCGCCCTACTGTTATGTATAATAAATCTCCGATAGGAGATACGTAAAAACTCGAGACTTCTCGAGATCATGTACACGTTTATCCTGCGCAGTGAGAGTGACGGAGCAACATGCAAAGAAGCATATTATTATGAAGACAAAGTTTCGTAGAGTTTGTTCAAAAGCTAAAGAGTTGAAATTAAATCATGCAAAACATACATGTTACAATACTCATTGAATTTACTGTCGTTTTAGAAGTTGTTTTAAATTTAAAAGTTCTATATAATTTGTGCTATATTATTACATATAGCCCAAGCATTATATTAAACATAAACAGTGAGGAAGCTTTTTCAATTTCTTTAAAAAAAATGAACAAGAAAATGAAGATAATATTTTAAAAATAAAACTCCCCCGTTTTTGTTTTTTTTAAACTCAAAAAAGGTGCCAGAAAATAAAATCTTAATTCAACAAAAGATAGAACTAAAGTACAAATCAAGTAAAAAGACATACAACCAAGAATATTTTTGAAAATATACTTTTGACAAAAATATTATTTTTATCCTTTGACAACGATATATATACTCAGTGTTGAATAACTAATATCATTCATTCGTTAATTACACAATAGAGACATTTCAAAGAAAATGATTCAATATCTTCAACGTTACTTTGTTGAAATGTCCCTTTAATTAAAAACCCTATATGAAATATGAAACTTAAGGTTTCTTTAAATGCAATATTGGGAGAAAACTCTCTTTAAGATATTTGATTTGGATGCTCGCTTGGAATGGTATGACGTCATTTCTCCCACAGGCAGAATATAGCCATGACTTGGCTGTTGTAAGTTTTGATAAAATAATACAATATGATAAAATATGGAATACTATGAAGATAATGGAACAAAATAATAACATAAATTATCTATGAATAATATCTACTAAGTCACGAAATTAAATATAATAGTCAGAATCAATCTAAAGATCAATCAAAGGAAATGAAGAATAGTATTAAGCTATATGTGGAATAGAAGACAGGAAACAATCCCCTTCAGTTATTACATGATGGAATCTTTGCAAGTACTATATGCATTTCGAATGATTTCAGTTCATAAAAGCTCCAATTATTCTATCAATTGGAATAATATAATTAATAAAATCTTTGTAATTACTGTATTAATTGGAATGATTTCAATTTATAAATTCTTTTGTAATTACTTACGTTTCCAGTGCAAAAAAGGTGGAATTGGACGGTTTACATTAAAGAACGCAATCGAATTGCAACAACATAAATTGTCTACACTTTTCATAGGCGCAGAATTGTTTACAAGAAACTTCTGTTGATTACAATAATTGCCTTTTTAAGAGCTTTTGTGGGTGTGAAAATTGTTGGAATGTAATAAGTTCTACATGTTTAATATATAATAAATTATATCGGATAAATGAAAAAATGTGAAAAATTGAGCACGAGATGATAACCGATGACTAACAGCCGAGTAACCTCCCCCTTTCTTTGAGCTGAGTAAGGTGTGGTGGTGGTAGTGTTTGGTTGCCATGACATCTAATCTTGCCAGCCATGTGCCTTGGGGCCAAATTTGAAGCAAAGTTTCTTGGGGAATCGGCCATTTTTCGGAATTGTTTCAAAGTATCCTGCCGATCTACAGAACCTGAAAGACACAAACAAAATAATTCCTTTAAAATAAATTTGATTGATACAAAGACCACGTTTAAGACATCGACTCAACCTGTGAAGAACAAATCGTATTAGAGCAAAACCATGGACCTTATAATACAGGTCCATGGCAAAACTAATCGCTTTAATTAAATATTTACTCATAAATTGGCGTGTAATTAAAAAGGCGTTTAATAGTAGATCATAATTAATGTCACTATGACATCTACACCCATAAATCACAGGTGTCACATTTGACTGAGTATTTACCTTTGGGTATTACCTACGTGCAGGGTTGGTTATCTAGATTTAAGAAGCTATTTTCGTTTGAATATCCGATAACGGCGTGTCTCCCTGATAGCATTATCAAAACTAACATATTTGTTGAATAAAAACTCCTATTCCTTACCTCATTGCACGGCTAAGTTTTTCGTAAGTCATTTGTCGGTTATTTTTCTTTCGTCCCCACATCTGTGCTACAGCCTCTGAGTTAACAAAACGAAACACACCGATAGACTTATCCTCCCATTTTAATAATGAGGGATTCACTGTATTGTCTTTTAATAAATCTCTCACAAATTCCCATAAATGGTTACCTTTAGATCCTGTAAAAGCAAAACGAAATAATTTGAAATAACGTAAAACTGAATTTAAATGCATGAATGTGTACAAAGCAAATCAATGATACAATTTTTAACCTATTTCGACTGGCTTTTGAGTATACATCTAGGACACTGATTAGCAAGCGAGGGGACGTTTGTGTATCCAGAATGAAGATCGATCATGCTGCTGCTTGATCAGCGCCCGCCCCCTCACTATCTATTTATTTAAGGGATTACTACATTTTCTCATATTTACTGTATATATGCCTACCTCCAGATCTGGCTTTGTTGGGTCTGGGTGGCCGTGTATCTTGACACCCTAAACTGTCTCCCTCTTCCGAAGAAACACTGTGCGTTACCATGCGTCTTTTGGGAGTCTGGAAAACTTTATTACAAGGAATCATCGACAAGGGATTTATTTCCATCTCCTCCTCTGCGCTTAAACAGTCATAGGCGTTTGGTGCTTGCATACCCCAATCTTGTTCTTGGTCCGATTCTAGAATACAAGATGAAAAACATGAGTAAAGTTGAATTATTATTTCGAGTTTAACGAAGATTGTGCATTTAAGAAAACAATATGAAAATACTAAAACAACAAATACGATAGATGTGAAAGAGCACAACACTACAAAACGACTAGATCTATTTGTTAAGGACAACTCAATTATCGTCAAGGTCGCTGAGATGTAAATAAGGTTAGGCACGTACGTGATTGTTGGCGAGATTGTAGGTTAGGATTAGCGCTAGCCCTGTTTACATCTCATGAAGTTGGCCTTATCAAATAGATTTTACCCTACAAAACACTTAGATCTCGCACGAAACGTGTTCAAGATTTTAAAAATAAAGCCCGAAAACAATTTCCTTCAGATTTAATTAGCCAAAAATTCGAGAGTCTGAACTTACCACCACTGACATAACCTTGGTCAGATGTCTCGGGAAATAAATTTTTTTCGACGTCAAAATCGTATTTATAACCACCAATAAGCACAGAAAAATCAACAAGATCCGCTGCAAGAAAACAACAAAAAACAAATAAACCCCAAGCAAATAAAACAAAATAAAGCAACAGGTCACTCAGCACCAAATAAAATATTTTTTTTTTTTTGTATCAAATTTGAGATAGAATTTTGTATCAAATTTGAGATAGAATTTTGTGTCGAAAATAATAGAAATGTGCCCACGTCATGCAAAAAGATGAAAACAAAAATAGATTGCAAATGTCCACACACTAAAGTTAACATAACGAGCAACACAAAAAGATAATCACTGATTACAAAACAGTACAAAATACTAACAATATGCACTAAGGAAAAATCTATCGGCCATATTTCAAAACGACTGCAGAACTTTCTAAAGATTTCCGGGTTCCCAAGCCGTACTGAATATGCAGTATCCGTTAACACTATTTTTAGATTTAGCTAATACGATATGACAGCCGATGTGATCAAATTGATACCAACGTAGGTCGCTGTTGAGCTTAATGTGATCTTGACAGTCACTCGGCAACTTATATATCATCTAGATTTAGCGACCTGTGCATTAAGCACCTCCCACATTTTGAGGTGTTCACACTAAACATTTTGCCTTATGTAATCGTGATATTAATATTTAATAAAGGAGGTGTCTATCATGGTGCACATTATTTATTGGAGAATCGCTCCTGTCATAGTTAGCCCAGGGCCGGCTTTAAGACGTGAGAAATTAACATTTATTGACACTTACTGTTTGATCCATCCCCGGGCACGAAAGCTGTGTCGTCAGAGCTTGGAAAGGGGACGTAGACAGGATCGTAATTAAAAGTCTCGGGCTTGGTTGGGGCAGAGAACGAAGCTGTCAAAAACAAATCAATCAAATAATCAATAAACGAATGATGATTAATCATAAATAGCATCATTTATCTCATTAAAGACACATGATGAAAACGTAATAGGCGTTAAATATTTGCAAACAAATCCCAAATCTATGGCCATTTATCAATTCACTGATAGGTATAGCACACGATAAGCTACATCCCCAGAAAAGAAAATCAATTAAAATAGTTAATGTTAGTAAAATAGTAAACCAGCTTTTGTTTCATTTTAAATCATTCTGCGAATTGAAATTCACGCCAATAGTGAATATTCCATATCATACACGTATCAATTATGTTATGCGTATAGAAAAGGATTGAAAAATAATAGTATTATGTATTAAATTACCAAACTGAAAATTAATGACCCCAGGCAGAATATTAACCCTTTTCTGTGACAGTCCAAATTCTTTATAATTTAGCATTAGTAAGATAATTTCCAACTCCTTGCTTGGGCTATACTTAAATAAAAGAATTATCGAAAATTCTTGCTTGGGCTATACTTTAATAAAATAATTATCGAAAAATCGTTAAGAAGGTACTCTATCCGCAGACCCTAGCTACACGTCCACATCTGTTACGAGTCCTTTTTGATTGTGTAACGCATGGCGTACCGTCACAATATGAAAAAGCCAAATTAAAAACTAGATTTTCTAGGCTCCCCAGACCTACAACCGTCAAAGTTGACAAACTCCACCCGTGGCCCGTTATACAAAATGAAAGAAAGTTAGAATACTTACCGGTATCTACCAACTGTCTGAAGAGATCATACATGGCCGAACCAAAGAACGGATCAACATTTAAAAAGTCATTTCTCGTCATGCTGCATAGTTTGTCTCCAGATAAATTTTGGTAAGCTTCACCACAAACTTTTGAACCATCAAAGCGCTGTTTGTCTGCCACAAAAAATACCCAATCTAAAATTTCTGAATCGCTCCAGTTTTCGGGGTGCTTTGTCGTCCAACTTAATAAATTGTTTGCGGTCTCTGTAAATACTGAAAGGAAGAAGAATAAATATTTAACTTAAAAAATTAAATTTGCCTAAGCTATCCTACCGATAAAGCATTTGTTATAGTTTATACATTAATTAACGACTTCTCTTATTATGAAATTAATAACTCTTAAGTATAAAAAGAACTGCATAAAGAATGGGTCGATTGGAAAAATTTCTGTACCAAAATGTTCTTTTTAAATAAAAGTATTTCTGATTTTGCATTTTCTTAAACGCTATATTTTATCTTTATTTTGACATGTTGGTGTTTTGATCATTTCGTTGCAAAATAAGTTTCTTTGAAATACAAGCATTGAGCATTTCTTGATATTATTGAGAATCATTTTTTTAGATTCAAATATTAAACACATTTTGATTAACAGGTATTGATTATTCCCTTTTTACTTACATGGACTTTGCTTAATGGAATTAAGATTACGTGTGCAGGCATCGTTATTGAAGTTTTGATTAGATCGGCAAGACATATTTGTGTCATATGAATGTTCCATGGGTTCCAGCTTTACAATTGATCGGGAATCAATGTTATATAAACAACTAGTTGATCGAGGAGCATCGTATCCAAATGGAGATTCTGTGGGCTGAAAAATAAATATGGGGGGTGAAGAAAGCTATCTAGATTCAAACTAAATTCTATAAATCAGTCTCCCTATATATTCCTATATTATATTTTGTTTTAGATTTCGCATTGTCGATATTTTAACCCAGGTATAATAAATAGTTGTAGATATTTTGTAATTGCCATTAAAGTAAGCGAGCCTCGCATGGCATCATCACAGTTACAGTAATTGTAAGACTGTCTACATCAAAGTGTAAAAGTGCCCCAATCAAGCAATTATACGTGAATTTATTTCATATATATTTGGAAATTAATCTTTTAACAAACAAATGGCAAATATATCAACAAATTGGAATTTCAGGAAACCAGGTCAAATGAACGCGTGCAACTCTGCGATCAATACGCAAAAATCAATAATGTTATTTTCTAGGTTGATGGTCGCTAAAATATATAAAATGAAGCATGCATTCTGAATTCTTAATCATCTCTAATATCAAATACTAATCAAGTGCATTCAGCTTTCTTAATCAAAGTTGTTTATTTCATTTCAATATTTTTGAAGATCACCGAAATTCCTTTGTCTGATATTTAATTCCCTAAATAAACAGTTAATTAGGCAAAATCAAAAATAAATGATGATTACTTTAATAGAGAGTATATAAACCCTGATATACCATAATAGCAGGAATTATAAAAACATATAGCATAATAGAAAATATATGAACATAAATACGTTAATAAAATGTTAGGAAAACTTACGGATATAGGGGGATAGGCTAAGGTGGTCATAATATAGATTTGGAAACAAAATCCAACTAAATAATGATGATTCTGAAAATGAAATGATGAACAAAATAGACTGAAGTAGGAATGTAAACAGAAAGTTGTGCAAGATAGATCATAAAGAGGGAAAACAAGGATTAGACCTACTGTATGCAATATAAATATTTTGAATTCTTCAGTAATAAATCGCTATTTTGATTCATTATCCACACGAAAACGACTAATGGATAAGAACAGCGAAACTCGACAACTATATTGACTTTTCCTCGTATTCATTTTTTGCAAACTAAAATTTGTATTGCAATCATCTGATTACAATAAACAGACGTCTAGATTGGAAATACACACACATTACCCCTAACCGAAATCGCTTGTCGAATGCTTCTGCAGTCGGCAACTTCAACACGTGGTTGGAGATGTCATTCATAATCCTATAGTATTTCTGTTACCCATAAGATAAGAATGTCATCCGCCGTGCATAAGATAAAATCATAAAACAACATAACCTAAATTTACGCTAATTAATCATAATTCTAGTATAATGCATAAGATATAGCCCTAAACCACTGATGATGAAATGCATCTTGCTAAGGATCTTGAAGATTTACGAAAACAAAAAATATATATTGTAATGTGACTCACCTAATAGTGACTCGTCTTCAGTTTCAGTCACAGGACTTGTGTGTTAAAATTCCAAGAGGGGTTTATTATATAAGTACACTGACTACTACAATATTGTCATTGTGAAATTTATAGAGTGGGCACCGGCAAGATAAATCCAATGTTTTCATCACGTGGTCTGTTGACAATGACCAATCAGAAAGTTGTAGAATTTAGGTGGTTCCCCTTTTTCTAAATAGGTCAACCTAGGCTCTTTTGATTGGCTATACCGATTGTGACGAACCAAGCGCTGTTGTCATTGATTTTTTTTGTTCAGTCTCTTCAGACTTAGTGTGGATAGCTCGGGTTAGTTCTCTATTCACATGTTTCATTCTGAACTTACTATTGACCACTTGTTTATATTTAGATACGTATATCTAACAATATCACGAAGCGAGATGAACAAACTGTACGTAATAGAGCGACGGATTGCCAATAAAGTATCGTTACCTATCTATGTCAAGGTATTTGGGGCTTCAATCAAGCAGTCAAGCGCATGAATTATAGTCCAGCCAGCTTTAAGCCGCATTGTTATCGGGTTCGTTGAAGGCTGCTTTACACAGTAGAAATTCCCAGGAGTATCCAACTTATCCCCCACACCCTAAACAAGACGATTCGGTCACAACGCTTTTGGAACCCTATCGTCCACTGTCACCAGAAATTTTAGGTTCATTGAAGCAAAGATTCAAGAACATTATACATAAGGGATAGTAATATGCACATTTTAATATTTTTATGCAGCCCACGGGAAGATGGCCAAGGACCAGAAGTACTTAAATGAGTTTAATTAAAAAAACAAAACAAAGAAGCACAATTAATTGATTTTCAAATTCAAGCTTGAGCGGACGAATTCGACAAAATCGGGCAACGACATTAATGCAGCGGAATCGCTACATGACAAAATCCCATCATGTGGCACCATGATACCGACTTATAAAGAACAATCAAATTAACGAATATGGCACAACTGATTACCACTGAATGTACTATAAGTTAAATCACTTCACGCCATTTCGTTTACAAAGCCGGATAAAACGTCTTCCATGCAAATTTTGCTTTCGAATATCTCAACTGTCCACACGTGGGAGGAAAGATGGACACCTGTTCCTGGTTTTCAAACCGACCCTTGCTGATTATTTTTTCAAAATATTGCACAAGATCGCCCAGAAGAGGAAGAAGCCGAAATCAGGATCTGGATGGGGGTGTAGAATGTGATTTCATCATTCTTGTGACCTGTACACACTTTTATTTTCTCTCGAAAGTGCTAATTTAAAAGATGCTTATCTTTTAGATCGATATACATAGGTACATCGTTCATACATTCAATATAGTAGTGTATCTGATCACGCATCGCAATTTTGTTACGTATCGTTACTGTTGAGTCAGAAACTGAAATGAAATGGAGAAGGGCATAAATCATCCAGTGTGATACCAGGGACATTTTGCACGGACAGTGGCGCTACGTCCTACTCTTATTTTGAATTCCAACTGTCAGTGGTTCTTTAAGTACACTCCACTATATACGTCGGTTTTTCGTCGCGTTTCATTGCCAGATCCTCCACCCAACACCACAGACAAGGGGGGTACCACGACGGAAATTTCTGATGAACTTTCTCATCCAACACCAGGATGGAACCCAGGTTGGCTAGCCAACGCCTTACTCATTATGAGCCACCGTGACTCCCTGTTGAGTCAGTAACCAAAGCATTGATAGGACTGGTATTTAGTAGGCTTTAGTCGCCGCCTAAGAGCATGGTGAATCCTTTCTATTGAAAGGGCAATGCCACATTTACAAATTTGCTCATCGTGCATTTCACTTAAGGGAGCCAAATATCTTTGATTTATGTCAAATTAAGAGTTAAATGTTGCTGATTTGATGTGTTTTTTGCAATTAGTGATAAGTTAAAATGGTAATCAGACCATTTTCTATTATTAGTTTTGTTTGTTTTGTTTAGTTCGAAAGTTAGTGTTGGCTGTTGCAAACGGCAAAATGACGCGTTCTAAAATGTCGCCGCCCAAGTACAAAGATACACAGCTTGTTTATGTGATATTATCTAACATAAACAGCAAATTAGTTATAACCATTCATTATCACTTTAATATATTTAGTCATTAAAATAACAAATAAAAGGACCGAATCTGAATAAATCATAAATCACGTATGACATCATTGACCATTTCGTCATAGTCTTCGTTCTGCAGACCGATTCCTAGCAAACTGAGGAGTCACAAGTTCACATATTCGTTCTTGGTGTCGGTGTATTGTCAACCAAGTTCTACTTTTTATCGGAGCCACGGTGGCTAAGTGAGTAAGACGCTGGCTCGTCTTTTTCGGTGTGTTTTCTCTTGACAGTAGTGGAGGGCAGAGGGCCTGCCAAGGACAGCTGTCTAGTTGTTCGGATGGGATGAAAGACCGAGGTCCCGTGTTCACATTGGCGTGCACGTAAAATATCCCTTGGCATCTGGAATTCGATATAAGTGTAGGCCGTATCGCCGCTGTCGGGGCAAAATTTCCCTCATAGCACACTGTATGGCGTATGCCCGTTTTCATTTCATTTCTTCTTTTTATCGTAAACGAATACCTAACAACTAACGCAACGCCTTATATAAGTTTATGTTTAAATTTTATCGTCAGAGAATATCTAACAACTTAGGCAACGCCTTATCTAGAGTTCCTTTAATATCCTTAACTAAAATTTAATGAACCATCATTAAAATTTAAAATTAAACCAATAACAATTTCAATTTTGTCATTCAATCTAAGAAAATGCCACATCTGAAATATTGTAGACGAGAATATATAGGTCAATCAGAGATTGTGGAGGTGTAGATGCTTAATCATTTATCTGATGAATCCGGAAGAAAATAAAATCTTGTCTTTTAGTAAATCATTGAATATACTAGAACACGGAAAGGTAAGAGGCATCTTAAATATTATAAAAGTTATTTACGCATTACATTTAGCGCTCGTTTCGGCCCTCGACTGGTTTAATCACTTTGTTTTGTTGTTTAATTGTATATTGGTTTCTGAATATTTCGAAATCGGTACTATACATCAGTAATAAAATTACTAAAGAAGAACTTTTCGGTCGACTATGTCCTGTCTACATCCCGTGTAAAGGTTGTTTCTAGCATGGTAGTAAAGTTTGACATTTCAAAACAAAGTATAGATCATTTCGGGCCTAACATATGGTTCAATTCCATTTCAATAATCCGCTGCGCGTAGGAGTGGGGGGGGGGGGGGCGGAGGACCCAGAGAAAACCCATGAAGTTGGACAGGCGACCCTACTCCTTGTCACGCATAAGCGGAAATTCGAAACCACTTGACTCAATGACAATTTCTGTTACAATAAAACTATGTCGCATATATAAATTGTAGCCAGTTGTGAATAATAAACCTTCGTCGGATTCCCAATTCTTCGAAAAGGAATTGAAACTGGCTTCCGCCTTATAGCGTGTCGGTAGTAATGGAATGCAAATCCTTATATTAAAAATGTAAGTAGGGTACTAATTAAATATCGAAATTAACAATGATTGGATAAAGAAATGCCTGATTGCATCACTCGTACATTTATTAACAGTAAATCTTGTAATATCGATATTAGAATTTATAACGTTCATTCGACAAAACTAGCTCATTTCAGGACTATACGGGTTTAGCAGCGGGAGGAAACCGGAGTACCCAAAGAAAATCAAATAGGTTGAACATGCGACACCACTTGACTCAATGATTGACGTTATCTCGCTTAATATCGATATCCATGCATTATAATCTGCGGTTTGTAAATAATATTTTCGTCTCCCCCATACAAGCGTGTGATTTTGACAATACATATTTCCTTTCTCCTTGAATGTGATGTTCATCAATGAAATCCTGAGGTCACAGTGATATTATCACAGTAATTCAATTAAGAATTAACGCTGATATTAATATTAAGATAAGCTCTTAAGTTGGTTAAAACTAGTCGCTGATAACTCTGGGGCATGTCATCTAAATCTAAATCGAATCTCGCCGATTAAATTTAACTTGATAAAATCGATTAATCGTGTCAGGTTTTACACTGACTAGCTTATTTTAGCTCGATTACTTATAAGTCAATTGAAAAAAAACGCTAACTAACGATATCTTAACATAAATTATAAATTCCCGTTCCTATAAAAATACAACATATAATCATGGTATCTAAAAACAATTTGAAGATTACATTAATCTGCCGTGAGAAATTAAGCACAAAAAAACCCTGTATAATATCAAAGATTTATGTTGGATATATCATGATTTAGATACGTACAATTGAGTTACAATATACAGAAGGTAATAATATCGTTAGCGATACAATCTTTTGCAATGATGTTGATGGTAATAGAGGGGTGGGTATGTGAACCTCGATTTGTGGATAGTAGCGAGAAAAGTCTAAAACGGGAAAATGAAAGGCATCTGAAGTAATAGAAAGATGTGATCCTTTAAGCCGATCACTTGGTTATACACTAACTTAATTCCATAACTGCCTTTATTAGTAAGTGTATTATCTTAATCCAGAAGCAGAGCAGATAGTTGGGGATTACTTAACTCTTGACTTTTTGAAGAAAAGGAAGGCGCAAAGAAAAGTCAATATTGTTGATGTGTGTAATTATTTGTTTAGTAGTTTGATAAAGTATTTATTGTAATACCACTTACTTACTCTTTGTTCTACCCTTTGTCCCAATCACTCAGTAATTCCATTCAGCATTAATTGTATCACATTACATCCGATTGTATTTCCAAGTGAAACAACCAGTGCAAATTTATAATCTAAAAACGGGCCATCACTTTATTAAATTATGAACTAGAAGCACTTCATGTATTTGGGGGTTTTCTTTTATAAACATCTTATCCAAGATTTTTTTAAATATAATTATATAATTTCAATTATTGAAAGCAATTGCTACAATTATCTCATTGTATTCAATGTCTTGTTTTATTCAAATTTTATTTGATAATAAATAATCGATTTTTTGAAATAAATGTATCGATTTAAAAAAAAAAAAAAAATATATCGATCTTTCAAAAAAAATAAATATCGATTTTTCAAAAACACCGATTAAGCAACCGCACCGTGCCAC